TTCCAGCATAACATAGACCTGTACTATAAGCTGTGGGGCGGCTTCCAGCAAGCCTTCAGCCATTTTCAAATTCAGCGTGTGGACATAGAGGTAGTACAGGCGTTCCTTTTCGATGAGCACACCGGTGCTTGACTTCCACAGTTCTTTGAAACGAGAGGCACAGACAAGGAACATTTGAAAGCTGTGGAGAGGGGGTCCTAGGCATAAAAGACTTAAGAGGAAATTCAGACGATTATTGCGGAATATGACGTCTGGGTTATCCACTTCTACTGAGTCCTCTTCCGTTGAGAGTAATCGACTTGTGCTCACCATTATGGACCAAATGCTGAGGACAACCATACTAACGACTGTCAGCCCGAAGCTTACTCCAAACCACCATGGGTGTCCTTGTTTATAGTACTCCACGCTTGTGAGTACATCAGTGGTCGTGTCGGCCACGAATAAGACAGTTTGGAAGAGAAACAGAAAGGTTTGGTGCCATTTTAAATGCACAGCAACCGCTACCATGGTTTAGTTTTGAAGAAAGTGCTGTAATTAGCCTACTGTAAAGCACGCACAGTTTAGATACGACAGGGAGGCTTCAGACTAGACATACGCGACCAAAACGTGACCCGTCACGCATTCTTCCTTACTTTGACAAACTTTCACAAAGTAGTGGATGAGGATGAAAAGTTTTACAATAACTGAGCGATTTCTCGCGCGCTGATTGCCCGAGAGCTATGTTCCCCTCTTTCTTACGAACACGATTTTCCCGGATTTTCCGAGAAACTTCAACGGAAATGGACGTAACAAACTGTCAATATTATTGTAAAAAAAATCTACAACAATTTCCATGGTCTGTACTCTTATCGACCATAGAAATGACGTCAAAATGTTCCAAACTTTGCCCTGAAAACACTCGCCTACAGCTCGTGGTTCCACGTGACTGTTGAACGTTTTGACATCCTTCTGTCCGAAAAGAGTACATACCATGGACAATTATTGTCCATTTGTTAAAGAGATTTTCTTTTACACAAGGCCTTAGACTGCAAAACAGTCCGTGTTTTTGCGTATTCAAGTACGCGCGAACAGTCAAACAAAAGGTCTGAACGAGTCATGAGGCTTACGTGTGAGGCTTGCGCGCTTCGCGCTTCATGATTAAACTTTAACTTGACCTTTTGTATGTTCCCACAAATATCTTCAGGAGTAATAACTAACAACATAAATTTAAATGTTGAATAAGTAACTAATTAAGGAAACAAAAGACATACAGAGTGTAACAATGACGCCCGGATGACCGTGTAATAAACCAGATTTAACTATAAAAGGAACTACACTTCATTCGGCCGCCATGACACCCGGAAAGCATGGCCCACACAAATATCCATGATCCTTTGCACGTTTACAGTAACCGAGAACTTCCGCCAACACAACTTCCGGTAGACAATACTATCGATACATTACACAGAGCGCTTACCATTTGTATGGAAAATCCGGAAATTCCGGGGAGAATTCAAATGGCTCCGTTCATCCCGGTGGAAATTTTCCGGCAAAAAAGCAATACCACCTTTCGAGGTATTATCTTTGTCCCGTTCTTACCGAAACGACCGAAATTTTCTGTATCATTTGTTTGGATTACCAGTGCCAGGCTTCTTGTCGAGAGAAAGTGAAAAATGCGCCGGTATTTTGTAAATGGTACAACTCAATCCCGCTCCTGTTTTCGGTGCCAAAAAAATTCCAGTATCATTTGACGGGAAATTCTCACCGAAATTTCCGTACAAATGGTAAGCGCTCACAATCATGCTTTTTCAAGGTCAATTTACCGAAAGAAGACCAGTTTACTGGCCTTTACACTATTAAAATGGGACTCTTTCACAACCCAAAAATTTAAGATAAACCTTATCCGCACCCTCACTTTTCGCTGTTATTCCCTCATCACTCTCTTTTGAGTTGTTCTTTGGATGAACTGGGGGACCTGTTATTACCAAGACGGTTATTTTTGGCCCAGCGATGTGTTGAATTACTACAACATACGGTATTAGTGATGTTCTTAACAGGCAACGAAACAGACCCAAATAGCCAGCCACAACAGTCCCCAAAAAGGAAGTCTTCTTAATTCTACCTTATTTAGGGTAACAAACCAGAATCTTCACCAGACAAGTAAAGGTCGTAAACGCTTGCATCAACAAATTCCACGGTTGCTTTGAACTTCGAGTTGTTTTCCAAAGCACGCATTGTATGAAGTCCCTTTTTCCCTGCAAAGGTAGGCTCACCCGTGCTCAAATGCTCAAATGTAAGAGATGTTTATAAGGCTATTTGTTGTGACTGCCAGGAGTTCTTCATAGGTAAAACTAAACGTAGCTTGCATGAAAGGAAAACGGAGCACTTCAAATCTATTCGCCATTTATTCGCCAGGATCAGTATACCGTAAAATCCCACTTTAAAGCCCTGGGCTTTTATGACTTCATAAGGGGTTTTGCGGGCTAATAAACGGGGGGTGGGCTTAAATCCGGCGGGATGTAAGCGGAATAAAAAAAATGTTTCGGAACGAAGAGACAAAACGTATTTGAGAAACGAATTAAAGCAAACATACGATTACATTAAGAGATACATTTGCGTCACAATAAACGAAGAATATATTTCAATCACACCTTTATTTATTTATTTATTTATTGACAAAAAAAATTAATTACAAATACTTGTTCTTTTAACTATGAAAAATAATATATATATAGAAAAAAAACTAAATTTGTAAAGGAAAAAAAGCTAAATTAAAAGGAAAAAGACGCAAACCTAATAAATGAAACAGTATAGCAGTAAAGTGTAGCTTGAAGGAATAAGTATTATGGAAATGACACTAGCATTCACATATCTAAAGAAGTCTGTCCCATATTTTTTTGAATTGCGATAAGCGGTTAGATCTAAAGGCTATGGTGCGAATATTTCAATAACATCTATAAAACACATATTTTGATGTTTGTAAAGAAACGCGAAAGGTACGCACGTATACATTAGATGGGCTTATAAACGGGGTGGGGGGGGGGCCTTCTATCCGGGATAATATCTTCGTTAGCAGATAGATGGGCTTATATCCGGGGGGGCTTTAAAGTGGGATTTTACGGCAGGTAAGGAAAATTTATTTGAGAGGTATGATACGTGATCGTTAGGTAAACCAAGCCTATGAATTGCATGCGGACTATTGCACACTATTTTAACTCAACGACAACAACAGCTATATTGTAAATATTTCCACTTCTCTGCTTTGTGTTACTGATAAAATTACATTAAACAAGAAAGTCGTTACAAAAAACAGATTTATGTGTCTGCGCACTAATAACAAGGAAAAAAATTAATGAGCATGTTTTTCCGGTTTTTATTGATCGAAAGATAAAATTCCGCAGTTCTCTACCGCATCAGTGTTGTTGAAAAGAAATGTAACTTTTTCAATTTTTAATACAATTTTCAGGTAGTACATTAATTAAACTTCTCTTGTCATAAGGATATATAAGCATAACTCCGCTGCGTGATCACGGCACATTTAGCGGTACATGTTATTAGCCAATAAAAAAGGCAAATGAAAATTGACTTCTCACGGTTTTTCCCGTAATGTATATGACCCAATTAGCTGCAGTCATGACGCGTAAATTACTAACAGAATAATCTATAAAAATAATCTAACAGCAGCCATTTGTTTGTTAGGTCGCATTAAGTTTTTTCTTGTTTTTCTTCTGTCACTATTAACAAAGTACACCACTCTTATGACTGAAACAAAGATCTGAAATAATACTGAAGCGGTTCACTTGCAAAGCACACTACAATTGATATCACTGCGTACTTTGCTTACATTTTGTAGTACACAGTCATGCATCTCAAAAAGGAATAATATCATTATGCGTATCCCGACGCATATGTCACTGATCCGACCATGTCACGTCAACTGGTCATAACACGAAATTGAACAATTTCGAAATTTTGGCAAGAGAACGGTCGGACACCCATTGCAAGATAAAGGAGAATCTGCTGATCAGGAATTTACAACCTTCCCTAAATGAAAATGTCAGCAGTGAAAAACTTAACCCTTTTTTAATTTGGATGTCAGTTTTTTCTTTTTTATATGCAAAGTTTCCTACCATATGTCATCTTAGTTACTTCTTCTACATTTCAATTTGTACGTTGTTATTCGACGGTTTATTACTTCTAAAGATGTATGTTGGAACATACGAAACGTCAAGTTAAAGTCTCTCCCACCGTGACCGAATCCCGTGCCAATGCAAGATTTTGGCGAATCCCACTTACCGAGTGGCTAGTGGAGGTGATTATTTCAAATATTGCTCCCTGGAAGTCGTGCCCTTAATATTTTGTTTCATTATCCCATTAAATCAAAAAATGGTCACATCAAATAAACTGAACTTGGGCTTTTTAAGTGTCCCAAATTTCGTTCCTTGACTAATTTTCAATGTCAATATATATCCTCGGCGTCAGAGGTTGAATTGTCATTGATCAGTTTTGCTGGATCAGACTCCACTTCAACTTGATGGGAAGGGGATAAAAGGAAGAGAAGCTGGTGAGAGGGATGGGGGGGGGGGGCGATTATGTCAAATATTTCGGTCTAAAGGGGGCGATTATTCGAGGGAGGCGATTAATATCGAGGGACGGCTATTATTCGAGGAAATACGGTATTCACACACCGGGGCTCACAGCATGGCCAGTTGTCATCTCAAGAGTGTTCACCCTTTGGGCAGATTCCCAGTACTCGTCATTTTGCTCGTGAAAGCAGCCGCAAAGGCAATACCATGAAAATAACTTTAAAAGAATCCCTCCAAGATTTCCAGGGGGGACAATCATAAGAGCCACGATTGGAAACCAGAACAAAGGGTCATCTTCATAACTATAAGGCCAGCTGAAAATGATCCCAAGAATCATACCGGCGTTTTCCAAAGTAAAGAGTACATACCACGAGAAATTAAGAACCGCTCGGTGAGTCAAACTAAAAGGGGCATTTCCCCTGAGCTTTCTTAAATAGTAAGAGCTATAACTAAAAAGATACAGCGGCGAATAGGCAAAAATAAACACGAGCATATCCTGTTTTCGGTTGGATCGCCACAGTAGGAATCCAGTAAAGTTGATGATAAAACAGTGCACGCCTAACACAAGAACGATCCACCACGACAAAGAAATAATAAAACATACAATCGCCATTACACGCGCCATGATGATTCCCGCGTTGCTAAGAAAGATTATGACTTTGTGCACGAGCCGGGGCACGGGTTTCAGGTTGGTCACCGGACGAAACACCTCCATGGATGTGACCATCCACGTCAACGTAATGAAAGAAATCCACATTGATACTTCCGGGATCACACTGTCCCCCTCTTTCAGCGTAATATATACATAGTACTGTATTATAAGCTGTGAAGCAGCTTGCATCAAGCCGAAAGTGAGCGTGTGCAAATAGAGGTTGTATAAACGTTCCTTTTCAATGTCCACACGATCATTGAGGGATATGTTGTCGGGGTTATCCACCCCTACTGAGTTCTCTTCCCTTGATAGTAATCGACGTCTGCTCACCATTGCAAACCAAATGCAGAGCGCGACTAGGGTAATGATAGTCAGGCCGAGGCTTACTGCAAACCATTGTTGGTGTCCTTGTTCTCTGTACTCCAGGCTGGTCAGGATATTAGTGGTTGTGTCGGCTACGAATAAGGCAATTTGGAAAAGAAACAGCAAGGTTTGGTACCATTTTAAATCTACAGCTGTCGTTTCCATGACTTTTCTCAGTAACTGGTATGGTGTACATGCATGCACAGCTTCTAACTCACCTTGCATCATAATCACGCCCAGCCTCGTCCCCAGGACTGTTCGCGCTATTAGACGACTGGGAACGAGGCTGAATCGTGCCTGCAGACACGAAAATACGTCTGTTAAAATCTTAGTAATTCACGACCAACCTGACTTAACCGAAGGCCAGAAGTGCGTGTTAGCAGGCATCACTGAGGTTTTGAACTGAGTCGCAATGGTGTCGTAAGATACGCGTGTTGCATGTCACGGCGAAGAAGAAGATTTTAGACAGCTGAATTAGTTTAGATAGATAACCAGAGGAGAAAGGCGACTTAAAAACTGTCAGCTACAAGAAAATTCGAGCAAAGAATTGAGCCTGATCAGTCTCGAATTAGCTGACAACGCTCAAAAGACTATTAATTTACATATTGTCGTGAATAGTTGTCATTAAAAAAAGCCGTGATAAATTCTGATAAATTCCATATTTTTTCTTTCACAGACAATGAAATTTACACAATATGTTTTGAGTTTTGATGTAAGGAGAGTCGTAATAAATTTTGCGTGTTTTAATTCAATGCTCCTAGGGGCGTTTAAGAGGGTATTCGTGAGCACTATCTCACATGCATTATCACACTCTCCGTCACGTATGCCGGGAAGGGGGGGGGGGGTACTCCCTATGATGGCCTATACAGGGAGGCTCCCCCAAAAGGGGTAACTTTTTCAGGCTTTTGGTGTAAGAAAGGGTAGGGATTTCAATAGCTGAAGTATATGAAAGGGGTGGGAAATCTGCCATTTCAGTCTCTTTTAGGCCCGGGGTTAAAAGATGCATTTCATGGCTGTGAAAAAGTCGAGATAACGTTTTGCTTTTGTGATTTTTTCATATTTTAACGATAACGCATTTACAGTAATTACTGCGCTTTTCAAAAACACGCCAAGTCTGAAGTTCAAAAGCTGCCTTCACAATTACGTCTTTCGCTGCCGTCAATCATAATTACGATCACAAACAACGAGCCTTGAAACACAGAAACACACAAAACGGATCAGTCCACAAATCAGAAATCACAAACCATGACCTTTTGAGGCCGTTGAAGTAAACTTCTGTTTCCTAAGAGACCCGCTAAGATGAATGACGGCAGCGAAAAACGCAAACGTCAGTTGGTTTTGAACTTCAGAATTCGCGTGTTTATGAAAAGCGCAGTAAAGCCCTGTTTACAAGGAGGGAGGGTAACACTGGTGCTAGGGCTACCCAAGCAAGAGGGTTACCCTAGCACTCGCATATTTCTTCTTTTTCTACACGACGTGTTTACAAGGCAGGTAGGGTTTTAATACCCTAGCGCTAGGGCAACCCTACCTGAGTACTAGGGTTACCCTAGCAAGAGGGTTACCCTACCTGCCTTGTAAACGTTGAGCTAGGGATAACTCGCCTATCCGGGTTAACTTTCCACCGACATGCGTGACCAGTAATCGTGCCAATTTGACGTGTCTTTCATAGAGAACTTCAAGATTAGTTCAAATTTTAGACCGTTACAAAGAATGTCACGCATGACGAAACACGTCAGAAAAGCTGGTAAAGTTGACCCAGGTGACATGGTAACCCTACCTGTGAAAATTACTTGTGAATCAGAGCTAACTTTAACCCGCTGGCAAGGGNTTCGTGGCTGTCAGCTGTCGTGGAATCTTAAACTCCTTAAGATCTACGAAGGCATGATCGATGCAAGTGTGAATACCTGTTGTAAGCTCAAGCTTGTATTTTTGGAAAAGCGTCTTTAGTTTTCGGGTAGACAGTGGTAGTCTTTACACTAGAGCCTAAATAAGCTAAGAAATATTTCAAGACAAGTAAATTTTAATTACTTCAAGTAAAATAAAGCTTCACACACAACCGATTCTTTTTTACTTCAGGTTATTTTCCCACGCAACAAAATTAAGATTGATTGACATGTCTCGCCTTTCTCAAAGCTCAAGAAACCGCAAAACCGCAAGTCAGCTAAGTAGGCCATAAGGATGGTTTTCAAGTCGCTTGAAACTTTCTTGAATCGTTTCAACTTTCCGACTTTAATGAGATGCAAAGCAAAGTTACTTGAGATTTTACTTAGGCCTTCACACACGCATTTTTGGTTAAGTAAAACTTAGCGGCTCTTAAGTCTTACTTAACAGCCTAGTGTAAAGACAACCAACCAGTATTTTGAAATAAAGTGTTTATATCAAACTGAAAGTTTCCTTACTGAGTGCATTTGTTTGGTGCATAAGCCAGACAAGCCGTGATCGAGTCAATAGCTGTCGCGTCGTGTACGAACTCACGAAAAGAACTCAGGAGATGGTGTTCCCCGATTGGGCACAATAATACAAAGCATTTTTTGTGCCCAATCAGGAGCCAGCATTCACTTGACCGTTTGGAAATGGTCCGGTGAGAGTCGGTACCCAGGGGCTCTTCCGCCTGTGCTTGAAAACTGACTGACTGCCCCTGGGTCTCCGAGGACTGAGCAAAACCAAAAACCTCACGGCAAAAACAAAATACCTCACGGCAAAATCAAAAACCTCACGGCAAAACCAAATACTTCACAGCAAAAGCAAAATAGCTTTGGTTTTGCCGTGTGTATTTGCTTTTGCCGTGAGGTCTTTGGTTTTGCCGTGAGGTTTTTGGTTTTGTCGTGACAGTTGTGGGCTACCGTAAATTTATGCAATAATCAGAAACACCGTTGAGTATGTCCCCCTTAGGGAATTTAGAATTGCTCGCATTGTCATACAGTAGCTTCTTGACGTCACACGAAAGCAATGCAACTCCGACGACGTAAAAACAGGCGTATGTAGGCGTACGCCGTCGTGTGATGACGTTTATCCGTGCACCCGCGCGCCATGCGGTTGTAAGTCACGGAAGTCGAGATTAAAGTATTTTCTAACTGCAGTTTGTACTCCGTGACCTCCACGATATCTCACGTGAGGTTGTCTGTGCTGATTATCTACCTACAATTTAAAAACGGATAACATCATTTTGGGTGCCTCTTTCTGGTCTGTAAACAGGCTCTCTAGTGGGGTTAAGGGCGAAGAGAGGACGGAAACAAACCCCACAATCTCCCGGACGGGGCTGGCGTCGTTGGACAAGTTTGATGATATGCTAGTGATCGCGACCGATATTGCTAGTCTGTACACACCAACGCGTGTTTCTCGGTGCTAGAGCAGATAACCATCTTACGCAACTTTTAGAAGGTGAACTCGGAAGTTAAAGGTGCAAAGTCCTCCCATTCGGCTTGACATACACAGACCGGCGAAGTTTTAACGTACCGTGGGGATCAACACTTCTAGCTACCGGTACTTATCGGATAAGACCTTGACCGACTCTCAATAGCCATTAGGATCGCTCGCAAGTTAGCAGCAAGCCGAAAGACCCCCTTACTGCCGGTAAGTCAAGAGATCTGGTGATGTGTGTAAAACTCTTGTTTAATGCGTGTTGCTATTCCTTTAATATCACTCCAGCATCATCAGAATCTATTTGGGCAAAACTGAGTTCACTGTCGTTATCCCGGGGTCGTTATGAAGTTTTTGAAGTTCCCGTGCTACTGGGAATCTTCTCGCTTGACTGCCGCTAGACCGCCTAAGTTTTGAATGAAACTTTGCGCACGTTTTTCACTTAAATCAATTTAAAAACACTCTCTGAATCCGACAGTAATCAATCATTGTAACAGAAGGTACGTTTCCACGGTATTGTTTTGATTGTAAACACCCCCTAAATGTTTGAATTTTTTGTCTTTCGTAAATAATTAATCTTCTTATAATAAAACAAGCCGAGTTTACAGATAATTAGCATCGCAAAATGCAAGGTGTAAAATTACGTGATGGCACGTACAGAACCGCCACTATAAAATATTCCATTCCAAGGCCAGAGGTTTTACTAGACACCGAGATTTGAAACTGTGGAAAATCTTTATTCTTCAGGAATTGAACGTTTTCCCAGCCTTTCGTCAGCTCTGTAGAAAGTGTTCGTGTGTCAGCTCTGCCAAGAGGCCGTCGTTCAACAGCTGTCAACTGAGCGACATATTGGTCATTAACTATGTCGTAGCTTCAGCTGTAAGCTGAACATTAGAGATTCCCATCGTCAAAGTGGACTCGAGATCTCATTTTTCCGCATAATGGCTGGTTTAATGCTAATTCTGGGGGCATTTGCAGTCTTCGCAAATATTGCTTTCGTTAAAGGTAAGCAACAATATAAGCAAATATGCAAATAACAGCACGAAATAAGGTCGCTTCACAATTCACAGACCCTCTATTTTCTCCGTCGAACGCGCGTGATAAAAATTAAAAACCGCGGGGGATTTATAGACCGCCAGTGCAAGGGGGTAGGGGTGGAGAAGAGGAAAATTTCGAAAAGAACGAAAAGAAAAATACAACGTCTGTGTACAGGCTACAAGTTTACAGCCCTAGTAGCTTTAGATAATATAAATTCACCAAACAAAATTTTTGGCAACAGAAAATCCATCAAGTGAACCGCTTTGACGTGTTTTATAAAGAACATAGCGCTTTTACCATCTTTCTTATTTAATCTATAACTACGAATTTCACCACTTCTGCCTTTTAAATAGCAATGTCTCTACATTCCAAAGATTTTTCCTTTGACGTATCTTTAATTCAAAAAGATTTAACAACAACACACCATATTTCTGGCTATGAAATGTTTAAGCTTTGAGCATTTCCATGTACCAAAAGAGGGTTGATTGATTCTCTAAATTTGAAGTAATAATCACTTTGAAAATTAAAAGAAAATGTCCACCCTTCCCTTAAGGGCCATGAAGGGTATTTGTATGAGTGCACCCCTCCCCCCCCAACTCCTACCTCCTTGTCTCCTAAGCAGCCATTCTTTGTGTTGTCATGCTTCTCACCATTAGGAGGAAGGAACATTGTATGATGACCCATAGAATGGCTGTCAGGGAGATTACCCCCCGCTATCTAGAAATTCCAGGTTACCTTCAGCATCATGACCCTCTGACCCATCGGAA